TGCTCCATAAAGTCCACAACCTCATATTTTCTACATGGTGATTATTATTTTATGCTCTGATTATAATAATTAATTAGCGCTCTTTGTTCCATATATTTCCTAAATTAACATTCTTAGCCATTACCTCAATGGATCATGAAAAAAAATGAGCATAAATTAGCTGTTATTTGCTTTCATAGAGTAGATAAAGAGACATAAAAGACATACCTCTGGGACCAGTAGGTCCGACTTCTCCTTTTTCACCCTGAACACCGTCGACCCCACTGGGCCCTTTCATTCCCCGGGGGCCCTGCATGCCTTTTTCTCCTGTAAATCCTGAAACACATACAAGCTTAATTTCAATAAATGATCAATAACTGTACAACAGCTAAACTGCGTGGTCTTAATATTCTATAATATCGGTCCTCTGACTCTGCTAGACAGGACTCCATTCAGAGGTCCTTATGGATTTTATCTGCTTTAAGGGTAAATAATGTTAAAGGTCCAGTTTGTTGGATTTAGTGGCCTTGCTTCACCTTCCCCTTCCAAAAACCTCTATCTAGAGCTAGTGTTTCGTTTGTGCCTTCTGGGCTACTGTAGAAACATAGAGGACTCCAGAGCATCTGTAGATAAAAACGTCTCATTTTAAGGTAACAAAAACACAGCGATTCTTTTATTCAGGTGATTCTACACTAATGAAAACATACAATATTATATTCCATTACTGACAATATATTCTCCTAAATGTTACACACTGGACCTTTAAGTGTATTTTATTACAATGTTTAGTGCAGACATTATTAAAAGTAAACTTTAAAAGGTTAAAGCTAGAGTCATTGTATTTTCATATCCATCTTTGTTTCTTAGCAGTTTCAAATAATTCCAATAAATACATTACAGCAGGAGTTGGTTCTGATTTGTTCCACTAAATAAACAATTTATAAACTCCTTATAATTTGCATTTGAAGTGGAAAGCCTCCAATCAAATCCAGTCCATTAAATAATGAATTGGTTAATCATAAATCATCATAATGAGGACATTCATTAATAAGTGATTCAAGTTAACTTTTACTTGTAACTCATGGCAAGCCTATACCCATAACTTTGACTTTTAAATGCCTCGTTACTTAGTGCCCAACCTGACTTCATTTCGAAATGTTGGATATTGGTCTTTCTTCCACCAGACGCCTCAATCTCTGCAGGCTTGCTGGAAAAAAAAAGCACTGTTCTGTTTTGTTCCATAAAACAATCTTTCAGATTTCCTGCACACTCCTAACCCTGGGGCACACAATGAGAATGTTTACAGTAAGCACATGTCTCCAAACTAATGTGGTAATGAGTTATTGATTGCACTGTTGTCGCTGACATGCTCTGATTACACTGTTGTGACTACTCAGCAATCAGAATGAAATAATTAGACCCAATGCATTAGAGCCAGAGACACAAAATAAGCTGATGATGGATGATGTCATGTTCTCTGTCTCTCTGCTGTGAAGGGTCAATAACTCCCTCCTCAGAGAAACCCGCTGGGAAAAGACTATCAATCATATTTTGGAAGTGTTCTTTGTGTTGTGCGAGACAGTCCAACAAGATCGCTCAACATGTCCAAAAGGATTTTTAAAGCCTGAATGTGATGATAGATTCCTTTGGCCTCAATGCAAATGCAGTAACAGAAGTACATGTGCTGCATTACAAACAGATAATGTCGGCCGTCAGCGGAAAGGAAGATATCTGAAAACTAACATTTATTCTAATGTCATTAATTAGCTTAATGACATGATGGCATCCAAACCTCAAACTGTAACCAACAGAGATGCAAATTTAAATTTATTTGTAACATGTAGGAGGATCTACTGTCAGAAATGTAATGTAATATTCATTAATTAATTAATTTCATTAATGTATAATCACCTGAATATAGGAATTACTGTGTTTTTATTATCGTTTTTCTACGTTTTTATCTACAGAGAGAGTGGGTCCTCTGCTACTGAGGCCGCCATGGTGAACTGCCATGTTTCTACAGTAGCCCAGAGTGGACAAAGTGACTTGAAAATTTACATATGTCGGATTCTGGAAAGTTTTCCACAAGTCTTTTTCAGATTAGGTCCAAAATTCTGGAAGGAAGCTCTTTATGAATACATCACATTAATGTACTGAGCAAAAAAAGTCCAGAACAACATTCAGTATCCTCGTCTACCGGATCCTAATTCCATGGCATTTGGGACAAAGGATTTGGTACAGATTGTGAGATTGCAACTAATTAGAACATTGCTCGTGTGGTTCAACATGGTGGCCTCCATGGAAGGAGACCCTTGGCGTAAAAACATCTCATTCTAAGGTAACAAAAACACAATAAATCTTATTTTCTGGTGATTATACACTAATGAAAACATACCTATGGATATTTTATTCAATTTCTACCAATAGATCCTCCTAAATGTTACACACTGGACCTTTAAGTAAGCGTACAATTACACACTTAGTACCCAAATATGACTTAAATACAGTAATGTGAGTACCTATAATTTGTTCATTGTTGATGTTTTTGAAGGTTCCTCAAACTAGTGTGAATTTCTTTTGACAAATATAGGTCAAATTTAAAGACATGACTGAACGACCCTGCGGAGACTGATCATTACCATTGAGACTTTTGATAAAAATCCCCAAGAGCTGACAGCCCTCACTAAAGACCTCAGCCTAATGGATGTTGGGGGTAGTTCTGTTTAGGTCCTGGCGGGGGTTTCCATTCAATTTGCTATGTTTTCATGCTAACTATTAAAAAAAAGCCTTTTTCCTCCTTCCCTACAGTTAGAAATTCTTTTTATTCACTTTTTCCTGGAACTATGGCAGCGGTGGGGGTGCTTTCCTTTCAGCAGGAAGATAATGCTTCTTGGAAATGTCATGTGAGAGCTGCAGTCCATCAGCCTGGGAATGTGGGATGGATGATGACAGGGGAGGAGCTCAAGGGTGATGATTCAAGAGGTACCAAGCTGGAAGGGGTCCCAGAACATGTGAATTCATGTTAGTGTTGTGTGCATCTTACAGTATCTATGAAAAATTGTCATTTAATGGCGTTGGAGTGCCAGTTCTGTCTGGATGAGGGTTCTTGTTGTGGGTTTTTTTTTCGGTGGAATTACCTGCGAGACAAAGATAGATGACCCGTCCCATCGGGCCTGTCCACACCCCGACTGAAAATAAATCGCCATCCAAAGTCTGGGGCCTTGTTTTCTTAAGTGGATTTATATGACCTTTTTTATTCTCTGTTCTCACTGCGTTATTAATGCAACTGAATGTAATCACAAAAGCAGAGGTAATAACACCAGCCAAAGTCTGTTTGGTGTGAAAGGAAGCTCGATTTTCACCTTTTCATTCCACTGAAACCGAAATCCCCTTGCATAAAACAATGTTTATGTATCATAAGGACCTTTTGGGCTTATGAAACTCACCACGCCGATCACTATCTGACTTTGTGCTTGGTGTTGTCTTCACATTCATTAAATCAGATATTGTCCAACAATTAATTACAGAATCAATACATATTATAGTGTTTTTTCAATGGGGTCCTTTTGACCTTTGACATTTTGAGAAATACGCTTCACTTTCTTGTTGAAAGAGAGAAGATCGCTACCACTCCTAAATCTGTCTGTCAAATATGTAACTGGAGCCAGGAGATGGTTAGCTTAGCTTAACACAGAGACTGGAAAAAAAGCAGAAACAGCAAGTACCAGCTCCGGTTTGTTAAATCAAATCAAAATGTAAAAATTACACATTGTGGTTAATGGGAGGTTATGTTCCAGACTTTTTGGCCTGGAGCAGTGACCCTTTTGGAGTCTTGACATCAGGCTAGCTGTTTCCCTCTGCTTTCAGTCCTTATGCTGAGCTAAGTTAGCAAGTCTCCTGGATTCGGTTTTCTGTTTAACCATTGTTTTAAAAACATCTGATATCAGAGAGTATTGAGGCAGACAGGAAATGAGGAGTGAGGCATGAAAATAAAATGTAACTGACTGTTCCTTTAATGGGTCATTTGAGCATTTTGATTATTCGAAGGTCAGCCTTTTCATAGCGGATGAATGGTAGTCTGGTTGTACCTACCTCTCAAGCCTGTCAACCCAGGAGCTCCGGGGGACCCCAGCGGTCCAGTATCACCCTTCTCTCCCTTTGGCCCCGGAGGACCTGCAGAAAGAAACACAATTAAGGTCACAAATGATGACATAATGAAAAGGGGATATAATGCAAACAATGCAAAATGTTCTGGTCCTTTCCCTACACTGTCCTGTATTCACATGCAACCGTTAGAGTAGAAAAGACAAACGTTTGGTCTCAGTCAACTTGAGCTGCTGTTGTTTTGTCCTATATGTTTCCAGTGCTGGTGGAGGTTGTACACTGTGGAAAACAACATCAAGTGAACTAAAGAAAAGTTCAGTAAAGTACATTTTTTCAGTTACAGAAAAAAGATTCCTCATACAAACACATAAATCCGACTACACATTTCAGAATGTAGTTTTTACCAACTGACACATCAAGTTATAGCAGAGTACAGTTTTATAGGTTTCGACCCAAAAAAAAAAGGAAAAGGTATTTCTGCAATTTGAATCCATTTACTTCAAAGATCCGCTCCAGACATAGTCTGCTTGGAACAATAATATGTGTCTGATATGGTTTTTCCACAAAAAAAGGTATAGTTTCCACATTGAAACTCCTACCTACCTCGACCTCACAAAAAATTCTAGAATATATAAAATATGCAGATCCAAGTCCATCCTCAGTGTCCGTGCACTGTCACACTGTAGAAGTTTCATACTGGACCAGGATGGACTTCCTGATTTTGTGATGTCAAAAAACATGCTCGTAGCCCCCAACCCTTAAAATCAGATTTTCAATAAGCTCAGAGAAACTTTCCACTTTCAGCAGATAGTGTCAAACTCTGCACATTCAAACATCACACTGCAGGAACAAGAACAAACACTAATAACGCACAACATCTGCATGAACTCTTTCCTAACTTTACTGTTGTCTTCTCCTGGCAGGAAATAGGAGCTGCAACAGGGGTTTGTTTGGAATTTAAAAACAAAAAAAAGGTAGAAATATAAGAGACACTCAGTCCACTCTGAGTCACTGAGTGTCTTTATTATTACAGCATGTTGGATTGCTTATTATTAACAGTGCAGCCAAAATCAAGGCAGGAAAGAATCGAGTAGATTATCACTTAAAAAGGGAACACAAGGGACCCAAAATTCGATTCAGAGAGCAACATGTGAGCCTTTAATTCCTGAAGATAATGATTTTATCAACGTCATATCACACACACACACACACACACACACACACAAAGTGACATAGTAGCCAAGATGAAGGCCAAACTGGGTCTTACAACTGGTCTAAGGATTCAATCCAAAAGTTTGTTGTACTTGGAGAGATACGGTAAAAGAAAGCCAAAGAGAGAGAGAGAGAGAGAGAGAGAGAGAGCTCTGACCACAATGGGAACCACATGTTTTAACAAGGTGGACCACAACACAGCTTGTGGGAATGCTTAGAAATTCGTGGTTTGTTATTGTCCAGCACATGTCCAGTGGCTCTGATCCTCCGGAGCTCTAATATTCTTCATTTGCAAGTTCCTGATGCAGAGGAGCTACGAGATACAGATCTGCCTGCTGCTGCCTCGAGCTGCTGACCAACTGCACATACTTAAGCGGTGGCCGTGGGTCACGAGACTGTGAAAAAGTCACATTAAGAGAGGGGAGGTGGAGTGTCTACGACCGCCATCAAAGTGTGTGTGAGTTTGTGTTCTTGTGTTTCCATCCTTGTGAGGCCAGGAGTACAAGCTGAGAAAGAAGTGAGGACTCTCATGGAGTTCAGGTTGAGGTTAGAATTAACTGATTAGTCAATCAATAGAAAAACAACCATTTTTTAACATTCACTCGTTCCAGCTTTTTTGTTTTGGAGGATTTTCTGATTTTGTAAACCAAATACATTCAGGTTTTGTGGTGCTGGTTGGAATAATAATCATTTTCTGACCTTTTATAGGTGAAATGACGAATGGAGCTGATTAAATAATAATCTTCATATTTGCAAAGTGGGGTTTCTGCAGCGAGAAGCTCCCATTTTGAAAGCCTTTATGCAGAGTTGACCTCACAAAAATCAGTGGACCTGATCTGACCTGAGTTAACCCTTGGTTCAGTTCTGGTTGGAGATTTAAACGGCTATAGATTTTGGGCTTCTGGACACTTCTGACTGGACCCCACAGACCCATTTAAGGTTAGCAGTCGACAATATAACACAAACAACAGATGTTGTTCAGTCAAAACACAACAAATTACTGAGCTGAAAAGAGCTTCTTCATGTCTGCCTTCTCTCCAATATAAAGGAACCAGATGGCCTCAGTGGCTCATGGTGCTAAAAGAGCCCAAAAATGACATCAACAACAGCAAATTTATTTATTTTTTCGGCCTCTTATTGCCTTTATTGGATAGCGACAGCCGAAGATAGACAGGAAAGGGGGGCAGAGAGAGAGGGGAAGACACGCAGCAAAGGATCTTAAGAATCTTATCTTCAAGTGTGAGCAGTGGGGTCACTGGTCCAGAAAACAGAAGAAATAAAAAGAATGGTTTCATCTGAAAATGGACACCTAAAAATGACAGACAGGGCCAGGAAAATGCAAAAACAACAGATGTGGATGAGCACATGTGAGCCATCAGTGAAGAGGTTTCTCTGTCGGGGTGCAGCTGGTGGGCCACCACGTTCAAGGTGGGATTCTGTTCATCACATATTACTTAAAGGTTGAGCGAATGGAATTGTTTTCTTTTGAGAAATGGTGCCTTGATGGACGCACGAGTACAGTCCAGAGACGGATCAAACAATCACTCAAAAACATTACATTATTGTGCCACATTAGTAAACCATTGAATAGAAATATCTAAAGGTGTCATTAGAAATCATTGTTTTATTGCCAAATACATGTCTTTTTTCATTGAAGCCTATCACTCAGTCTACAATATGGCCAGAACAGATCATTAACATGTTAATTTTAGTTTTTTAACACTTTATCTTTCAAATGAATCTAAATTAATATGTCAAATTTCATATTAAAGTTGGGAGGCCAGGTATTTTTTTAGGGATGGCAGTTGCCAACTCTCTAGATCCCCTGGAACGGTCGATTTATCTGGGTCTGCTGAGCAGCGGTAAATGGAAACTGCTGAATCTACTGTGGTGTAAACTGGATGATATCCTGGATAACTTTGGGGAGCCCACGACTAACAGTGGACGAGGAAATGCCAGAACTATCACCAATCGTTTTCTCGGAAGCCAGGAAACTGATAGCGGTGAGTACTTGCAGATGAGGTGGTGGGATTAGATCGCTTTGTCTTGAGGCTCCAGAACGGCATCCGAGTTTTAACAATCTGCCACAGTCTTAATTATCTTTAACAAGTGCAAACAATTAAATTGATTACATAAATACATAACTGTATTTTCCTTCTGTGTTTACATAAGTAAGTAAATCGATTTTTTCTTTATCATTATTAATATTTCACACAAAACGCAAGTTGGCTTTTGCGCATATTCTCTTATGTGTGGTCTCTGGTACTCCTAAATTCTTATCCTAAATTGGTTTCACGTACAATTTTAAATCAAAATAAATATTTGGTTTATAGTTTATTTAGTAGAAGTTCACATTTCAATAATTACCTGCTGTTAAGATTAGTTTGGAGAATAAAACTGCAAGGTTCCTCACAAGTACTGTAATACAAGTGTGTCCGCATGCCTCGGCTTTGGAGAGGGCCGTTCACCCCGGTGGTCCTGAAGAAATTGCATCCTTGTTAATAGTTTGTTTTAGCAGAGCTTCACATTATTAATCTCCTGGCTTTCAGAGTCCTATTTGTTCGTTCAGCTGACAGCGTTTCAACAATAACAAGCCCAGCGGCCCCTCCAGGATCAGCCTGAAAACATCTGACAGCACTGAGTCCAAGAATACAACAGCAGTGTCAAGTACAGGCGCCTCCAATCCGACATCCAGTCTGTGTTACAGATCTACTGCAGGGCAGAGGGCTTGTCTTTTACACGTGGAAGAGACGTCGGTCGGTCTCAGCAGAGATCAAAACACCGTGGCGTGACAACATGTATATTATATATAAGGGGAGGTAAGGAGCATGTTGTAATGTTCATCGGTATGATGAATGAGACAAGGCATTATCAGGTTCTATGTTATTTGAGGATCATTATAACGAGGAACAGACGGACAAAACTGTGGTCAGATGGAGGCTAAAATGTTCAACGTATGTCCCTAATCTAAGAGGACGGGGACGTGATGAAAGGTGATTCTTTCTGATGGAGGATTTACTACAGCAACTTTCTACAAACTGTCTTGGCTTTACAGAGAGACTAGGCTTTATAATACAAATGAAGATTCAAATCAGTGAGTTGAAAATAGAATCATGATACTGCATCGGTGTGTAAATGTGTATGAATGCATTAGTTACTGTTCGATGGGCTTTGCCATCGCTGTGTGAATGTGTGTGAAAGGGTGAATGTGGCACGTAGTGTAAAAGCGCTTTGAGTGGTCGGAAGACTAGAAGCGTTACAAGTTACAGGTATTATACCATTTTACCATACTGAACCATGCCAACAGTGAGACAACTCGGAAAAGATTTAAAAGTTACTCAACACAAGAAGACTGGAACTAACTTGGAAAAGTGCTCATCCTCAGGTGAGTATCAGTCTGTGGCAGGAAGACAGAATGATGGATGATGATGATAATAATATTAAATAATAATAATAATATATAATAAATAATAATATATATAATAATAATAATAATAAAGTCAACAATAGCATGATTGCCAGATTGAGCCACGCCATTGACTGTGAAGTGAGTATTCAGGAAGAAATTAGCTTTTCTGGACATGAAAGAGGAAATGCAATCTGATAGGCAGGGACTTCCTTAGTACATAGCACAGAGCTGACAGCAGTTCTGAGCATAGAGTGGGGGTTGGGAAGCCCTGCTCTGTGCTGACAGTACCCGTCTGTCTTTTTACCCCTATTTCGAGGATACAAATATCCTAACCAGCTAACAGAACCCAACCCTTAAATCAGAGCTTCCTGCAGGCTATTATAATGGACACTGCCCCTGAAATAAGGTTCAAGGTTCAGCTTTATTG